TTTTTTTTTTTTTTTGGTACCAGCAATCAAACTCAGGACCTTGCACTTGCAAGGCAGGTGTGGTGCCACTGAGCTAAATCCCTGGCCCAGAAGTCTTGTTTTTTATTCTCTTAAATTTCAACACCTTAGAAAAAGTCCTAGAAACACCGGAAAGACCTCTATACCTTACTTTTCTTTGCCTCTTTTCATGTACTTATTAAGGCCTTTGAAATCTGGCACCTGCCAGCTTTTCTAGCTTTCGTTGCTATTGTTTCTCAGCACATAGCTGTTGTTCATTGCTCTGAGCTTGCCGACTGCTTTCTAAATTGTGTTTATTTTTCCACACTGTCGTGCCTATGTATAGCCTCTGCATTTCTTTGGATATCTTTCTTTGCTTGATCTGTATCATGACCTCCTGCTCATCCTCCCAGATTTGGTTCTGAATTGAAGCATGTCTTAACTCTCTTACTCTCATTTCCATCTGTTCAACACTTCATTCATCCATGCATCAAACATTCGTCGAGCACCAACTCTGTGCCAGATATTCTTGTAGGCCTCAGAGGTGCACCTGTAAACAAAGTAAATCTCTGCTCCTGTGAAACTTGCAGGTTGCTTAAGGAAGAATCAGCAGTAAACAGATACCTCAAGGGTGAGGTATGTCACTGTCTGAGCCTATTTACAAGAAATAGAAAAAAGGAATTATGCTATAAGAAGTCAGAATAGTGGCTCTCTTGGAGAGTGGAAGGCAAAGAGTGATTGGAAAAGAGCATGAAAGATTCCTGGGGTGTTGATAACGTTATGTGTGTTGGCCTGGATTCTGGTTATATGGTTGTACTCAGCTTTTGAAAATGAATTGTGTTAAATACTTAAATGTGCACGTTTATGTATGTACAGTATATTATGTTTCTACCTAAAGTAAAACACATTCTTCAAATGAGAAGGGGAACAAGGAGGAGAGGAAAGAAGGGACAAGGAAAAATAGGAGGAAAACAGAAACAAAGCTTTTGTAAATGAGGGGAAGAGGGGTTAAGGGGGGATGGGAAAAAAAGAAGCAAGATATACCATGTACAGGTACAAATTCCCTATGATGAATGTTATCATTATGTATATCTAAAATGTACCAATAAAGGTTTTGCTTTAAGAAAAAAAGTAAAACACATTCATGTACTTATCAGATAGAACAATCATATAGAGAAAAATAAAGCAGGAAAGGCATATTAGAAAGAGAGATGTAGGGGATGGAAGGTTGTCATTTTTAAATTGGCTGTCCAGAGAAAACTTTCTTGAGAGGCTAAATTTAAATAACGACTTGAAGGAGGTGAGAGAGCCAGGGTCAGGGTAGGTGTGGAGGGCAAGGGCTGATAGATTTGAGGAACAGGAAGAAGCCCAGGCCAGTAGTTAGAATGAGGAGAGTTTGTGAGAGAGCATAGAACTTGAGATCAGAAAGACAACAGGAAGCTAAGATTGCCTTACAGGTGGTTGTAAGGGTTTTTGGCTTTTGCTTCTACCATGGGAAGAGATGCAAAGCCATTGGAGGATTTTAAACAGAGAAATGAAATGATCTGACTCATATTTTATAAATATTTTTCTGGTTCCTCTAAAGAGTAGACCCAAGAGGGTCAATGGTAGGAATAGGGTGACCAGTTGGGATTGTATTATAATAATCCAGATATGAGAAGGTACTGGCTTGATCCAAGGTGTTAGTAGCGAAATTAGTATGAAATTGGATTATGTGTATATTTTTGAAGAAAGAGAAAGTAGGAATTGATGAAAGATTATATGATGGATGTGAGATATAGAAAGGAGTCAGTGATGACTAAGGAAGAGTCATTTGACTTGAGCAAATGAAAGATCAGAATCACCATTTATTCTGATTAGGAAGTCCAGGAGTTGGTTTTTGGACATCTCGAGTTAGAGATATTCATGTGAGGCATTTGAGGGGGAAATGTTGAGTGGTTAGTTGGGTATGAAATCAGAGTTAGGAGAGAGGTTCAGGATTACAACGTAAATCTGGGAGTAGTCAACCTGTAGATGGCGTTTCAAATGATGAGACTAGATGGGCTCCCCCAAGGGAGTAGGCATAGATGGAAAAGTGATTCAGGAACTGAGCCCTGGGCCCTACCAACATTTATAGGTCAGGTAGATAAAGAGAAACCAGTGAAGGAGAATGGGCAGAAGCGGACAGGAAAGAAAACAGGAAACTAGGAGCGTGTCATAACTGGAAGCCAAAGAAAGATAGAAAACATGTTAGAGAGGAAAGAGTGCTCAACTATGTGGAAAGCCACTGAGGGGTCAAGTAAGTTGAGGTAAGAAGACTATTTGAGTAAGAAGGAATACTGACAATTTGGGGAATTCAGAAGAGATCACTGGAGCACTAATATGGAGGACAATTTTCTTTGTAGAAGGGCAGCAGAGAAATGTGTGCTAATGGGAGAACTGATAGTGTTTTGCTTTTCATTTTCTTTCAGATGGAGGAAAAAACAACATGTTAGTATGTTGATAATGAACATATGAGGAGGACAAATTTGACTGTGCAGGAGAAGGCAAAGAGTTGCTGAGTAATGTCTCAGATAGAAGGGTGGGTCTAATGCATAGCTAGACAGATTTGTCTTAGGTAAGATAATATAAAAGAAAGTGTGTAGCATAGATATAAGTGTGTAGCATAGATGTAGAAAGGTGGGCTGTATGGTAGTGAGAGTGCCTAAGAATTCTGTTGCTTCTAATTTTCTAAGTGAAATAGGAGGCAAATCATCAGCTAAGCACAAGGCTAGGGATGGGAATGTGGGGGTGTAAGAATCTAATACTCATTTAGGAGGATAGGAGGGAAGAACTACAATATAATAGGTTTCTTGGGTGGTAGGTCATGAAATTCAAGTGAGAACACTAGGCATGGTTGTGTGTTTTTCTCCAGCGTCATTTAGCTGCTTGAGTGTAGACACAAGATGGAAAACTGGCTTAATCACATGCTGAGGTTTGCCATGATGCATAGCAAAGACGGAAGCAAGTTAGATAGTGAGTATAATGATCAACTGTAGAATATGAATTGAATTAGGAAGGATGAAGGACACGAAGTGGATAAAGTGATAGGAGGACTGGAAGTGTAGCTCAAGGTTAGAGCACTTGCCTAGCAATCATGAGGCCCTGGGTTCAATTTCTACCACTGGAAAAAAAGTGGTAGAATCATTGGCTTTTCAGTACTGATGGCAGCCAAAAATTTGATAGTTGGGCAATTAGAGAGAATGAACTGGAAATGTAGATGGCAGTAGTTGGAGAATAAGATGCTTGAAACTGAGATAAGGTTGAAGTTGTGATTATTGCTAATGGTATAATCTAAGTTCTAACCATGGGGAGGATGGCTAAAATAAATGTGGAAAAAGATCATTGGAGGAGAAAAGATCAAGGTCCAAAGCAAGTCAAGTGAAGATAATATATGAGATAGTGATACCAACCATTATGAAGAAAGGAGGCATGAGGGCTACCACTCTGAAGGGGAATAAAGAATTCATTGTTGGGCCGGGGATTTAGCTCAGTGGTTTCGCCGCCTGCTGCGCAAGCGCAAGGACCCAAGTTCGATCCCCGGTACCAAAAAAAAAAAAAAAAAAAGAATTCATTGTTCATAACAGTGTTCAAGAACAATGAATTCTTTTCTGTATGTCTTTAAGAAATGTATTGTATGAGAGGTTGTTGCAGGAGAATTGCATGTCTATAAGCCCCATCTGGGCAACTTAGCAACTTAGTGACACCTTGTCTTATAATTTAAAAAAAAAAAAAGGTGTAACTCAGTGTAAAGGCCCTAAATTCAATTCCTAGTATCACAAAAAAATCATAACTGATGGCCTGGGATTTAGTTCACTGGTGCTGCTGCCTGCCTCACAAGTGCAAGTTCCCGAGTTTGATCCTCAGTACAAAAAAAAAAAGAAGATGTTAAAAAAAATAATAACTGAAGCAGAATGCAAGGTTGCCTCTAACACAAAACTCCTGCCTTTTGTGTTTTTTCCCTCCTCCCCCTCTTTTTTTTTCCAGAGAGAAGATATCCCCCATCATATGATTACTATTAAGAGATGTGAATAACATCTGCTCAAGGACCTGTCTTCCTTTAAGCCACTGGAGCTCCTGATTTCTTTTGTGGATTATCTATTTTTCGTCTTAGACAAAAATAAATTTACTGATCATAAACAGAAAAAACTTAGGAGGTAAGAGGTCTAGTATGTTACTTATTAACTAAAACAGTAGACGCCCCCATACTGTGCCTTTCTTATGCCTGTATGTTGAAGTCTTATTTCTTCATTTCTATTTTTGTTTTATTTAGAAGAATTACCTTTGGTCTCATGCCTATCATGTTAATTTCTGAATAAAATTTTAAAATCTTAAGTGCAAAATAAAGGAGATAAAAACCTGATGAATGGTCCAATTTGTGTGTATTCCACTGGTATGTGCTTCAGTGATGGATGGCTTGTTGGGGAGTTCAGGGCAAAGGAATTCTGTTCTACATTTTCTCTAAGCCAGAGTTTTGTTTTGTTTTTGGTAATGATGTTACATGGGCATTTTGGTAACACAAAGGAGAACCTGAGAAACCATCACTTTCTTAAAAATTACAGTCTGAATTACTTGTTGCTGAGACAAAACACCCAACACCCGAAGTTAAAGGAGGAAAGGTTTATTGGCTCACAGTTTGTAGAGATTTAAGTTCATAGTTGGCTGGCTCCAAGGCAGGGTGGCATGGCAGAGGAGCATCATAGAACAGAAACAGTTCATGGCAGGCAGCAGGCAGAAGGCAGCAAGGCAGCAAGCAGCAAGTTACAAGTGAACAGCAGCGACTCCCTTCTGCCACTTATATCTTATCCAGGCTACTCATCCTTAGGGTGGGTAGCACTAAGACCCAGGATAGGGGTGCCTTCATCCTGGCATCACAACATGAATCAATCACAGCATCATATCCTTGATCCAGCCACCTTTGCAAAGGCCCACTTATGACTGCATGAGGCTTTGGGGGGAACATCTAGATACAAAACTATAAGAATTATTATGGATAAAGATTATTATATCTGTTAAAGTCTTCTCCGGCCATTACTAGACAAACAGTATGGAAATCTTGGAAATTTAAAGAAAATGAGATTAACCTTGAACTCTTCTGATTTGTCTAATGATTTTACAGTCTGCTTTGTTCTTTTTCATTTTTATTTTTATTTTTTTGGTACCGGGGATCGAACTCGGATCCTTGCACTTGTGAGGCAGGTGACGGAACCACTGGGCTAAATCCCCGGCCCTGCTTTGTTCTTTTTCTAAAAATTCATTAATTTTATTGGTACATTTTAGGTATACAATATGCTGACATTCATTATTGAGAATTTGTACCTTTACATGATGATCTTGGTTCTTATTTTATCCCCATTCCCCTGCCCTCCCTTCAACTCTTGCACCCCTCCCTATATACAAACATTTTGTTTCCATTTTTTCCTTTTCTCATATTGTTTCCTTTCCCTACCCTTCTCACTTCCCCTACCCCTTTGGACCTTTTCTTCCTATTTCAAATTATCAATTATTCATTTTAATCCTTATTTACACTTTCAGTTTCTCACACCAGAGAAACTATTTGGTATTTACACATGTGTGTCCTATTTATTTCACTTA